CAGTGGCTAGGGAACTCACCCAAGAGGTAGAAAACTCATATTCCAATCCCTTCTCATCAGGCAGAGGATAGAATTGAATTAAGGTCTCCCCATCCTGGATCATTGCTCCAATCACCAGGCTAATGGTTATAAGGGAGATCTCCTTCCCCTTGCCCCATGTCGGAATCTAGACCTCCTTTGCTTTTCTCACAATGCCCAAAACCAGAATGAAACCTTTCAAGTTGGGTCAAAACAAAATGTTTCATTTAGATATTCCCCGAAACACTTCTGTTCTTTCAGTTCACTTGAAACTATTCAGCAAGTTCACTTCAAATTCACAAATAGTTTCTGGTCAACTGAAACTTCATTTTTTGGCAAATATATTATTGCACCCAGCTTTATTCACAAATTTCTATCCCTTCTTCCATCCTCCTTTCCTATCACCCCCATGTCCCTTCATCCCACTCAGAGCGAAACCTCTTCTGGTTTGCTACGAACAGCCTATTGCTAGATGGGATGCAATTAGAAGTTAATCAAGCCATCAGCACATTCCACATCATATCACAATCAGAGCAGATTGGCCCATGCTGTGTTGTCTGACCCTTGCATTTTGCAGGACTTCTCACCTCACCCCCTCTCACATTTATCTAAGGCCTGGTCTATGCTTAAAATTTAGCATCGACATAGCTGCGGTGTGTGAAAAATCCACACCTGAGTGCCATAACTGTGTCACCCTAACACCAGTGTAGACACAGATAAGTCAACGAAAGAATGTTTCTGTTGACCAGCTACCTTTGCTTGAGGAGGCGGTGTTCATACAGTAATGGAAAAACCTCTTCAGTTGCTGTAGACTGCCTCTACGCTGCGAGGTTAGGTCGATGTAGCTGTGTGACTACAGTCTCCATAGCACAGACATAGTCTAATTTTGCTCTTTAATCTCTGCAGGCCTGGTGCCTCAACCTCTTCCAGGGGTTGCTCATAACACTGCCCACTTGCTCTGATTTAAGTTTTCTTCCCCCTCTCCCCCTAATATCTAGTTCAAACGTGTCCTTCCTTAGCTTCAGGCATTGATCCTTCTACCATCTGAGACTAAGCAATTCCCTTCCTTCATTTATCTTGCTACCTACAAGGTATTAATAGACTGTGATCCTATCACCCCTGGATCTCCTCTTCATTACACTGTACAAATTTAGTTCACTCAGATGTTTGTTATCCTTTGTATTTTCTCTAATCTTTCAACAGTCTCCCTAAGCAGGGGGATTGGAACTGAGACAGTATTCAAGGTAAGCAGAACTATGCACAGTGGCACTATCATCTCCTCTGTTAATATATCCAAGGATAGTGGCAGATATAGCATTTTATATATATTTCCCTTTATCAGCACTACACTGCAAGGAGCTCAGGTTTCATTTGCCATTACCCATAGGGCTCTCTCAGAAAGACTTTCCAGGCAGCTGTTCCTCATTTGTCTATGTGCTTTTTATTTCCTCCCCTTAGGTTATGTTACATTCATCATTGTGTTTCATGAATAATATTATGAATATCTGTAGACTGTAGACCTGAAATCCACATCCAGCAGACACAGGCAGTTTCCAGGTTGAAACAAAACTAGCCTGTTAACTACAAACTCCTGGTGAATTTGTTTAAAATGAACTCCCCCCCCCCCCCGCTCTGAATTGGTTTACATTTAACTATGGAATGAGGGTTTAGAGTTATCAAATTTCATAAAATCGTAGAATATCTGGGTTGGAAAGGACCTCAGGAGGTCATCTAGTCCAACCCCCTGCTGAAAGCAGAACCAACTCCCAATTTTTGCCCCAGATCACTAAGTGGCCCCCTCAAGGATTGAACTCACAACCTTGGGGTTAGCAGGCCAATGTTCAAACCACTGAGCTATCCCACCCCCCCGATATTGTTGAGATTACAGAAATTTGATACTGTTGAGATTACAGAAATCAAACTCTTTTACAAGAAATTAACCTTTTATAAAAAAATGGATTGGGGCAGAGAAACAATTCTGAGACTTCAGACTATTTATATCCTTCTGGACACTGGTCACTTGAGAGAGCTTTGTTGCTACAAGACTTGAACCATGACGATGTGTTGCGTTTTTTAAAATAAAGGTATGCTAAACAATATATGAAAGCTGGACAAAAATTTTTGGGCAAATATTTTTTCCATCAAAAATATAGATTTGAGTTGACCAAAACAATTTGCAAATTTTGATCAATTTCAGCAAATTATTTTGGTTGCATTTTATTATTATTATTATTATTATTCTTTTGGAAACGTCAAAACGTTTCAATACTGTACTTCCAAAACAAAACATTTAGACTTTTTGTTTTGGAATTCCCCTCAATTTTATTAAAAAAAAACCACAGTAAAATGCTTAAAAAACCCTCAAAATAAAAATTAAACATTTTAGGTCAAATGAAATATTTTGTTCAATGCAAAACATTTTTTTTGACTTTTTGGTTCGCCAAAATTTTTTTGTTTCTAGTTGACCCAAAATGAATGTTTTTCTCCCCCTCTATTTTTCTGTTCAGCAACTGGGTTAGCTCTAGTGTGTATGTTGGATTAAAACCATGTGAAACATTTCAATAATAACGCACACAAAAACTTCATTTTGAAGTAGCAGAGACACACTCACAAAAACAAAGACATGGAAAGTTAAGCCAACCAACAGTACAGATCCTCTACTCCTTCACTCACAGGCACACACCTTGCCATTACTACAACTCCTGGACACCACACCCCTAACTCTACCTCTCCTCAATCCACCCTTCTGCATTGGCTCGCCAAGCTACCCTCTCCCAAAATCATTAGTGGTGAATACTTGGGGCAGTAATTTGATTTACTGGGAGTGGGTGGTTTGGTAAAGGAGGTGATGAAGGGTGGACACTCTAAGGTGTAGAACTAGGGTCACGGTTAAGAAATTAAGGTTCTGAAAGCAGAAACGGGACAACTCACGCCATTCTCACATGAAGATTTAAGGATGCTCCTGTGGATTTTGTAGCAAGGACCCAATGGGCAGTTACAATTATGAATCCACAAAAGAGACAGCCTCTTTTCTCACTGGACTGTGAAAAGATGCCACATGAAACACAACTCACTTTCTGATTGAACCAACTCAGCTCTTCCTACAAACAATAGCTTGTATCCTGACCGGTCCAAATCAGCTTTTCAATCAGAGAAGATGTCACTGAATTGCTCATTAAAACTAAATAAAATAATCTTAATGCCTTCAATAAAATCTTCCCATGCAGCTGAAAACACATGGATGAGATGAGAGCTGAAGGCACTATGTGGCCCAAATGAGAACCTCCTATGGATACCAACAAAGAGTTATCACAGATAAGTCCCCTACTTCCTCTTTATCTGCCTAAGGGTATGTCTACACTACGGAATAAGGTCGAATTTATAGAAGTCGGTTTTTTAGAAATCGGTTTTATATATTCGAGTGTGTGTGTCCCCACAGAAAATGCTCTAAGTGCATTAAGTGCATTAACTCGGCGGAGTGCTTCCCTCCGTCAGAGCAACGGCAGACAATCGTTCCGCGCCTTTTTTCTGTGCGGACGCCATACCAAGGCAAGCATGGAGGCCGCTCAGCTCACTTTGGCAATTAGGAGCACATTAAACACCACACGCATTATCCAGCAGTATATGCAGCACCGGAACCTGGCAAAGCGATACCGGGCGAGGCGGCGACGTCAGCGCGGTCACGTGAGTGATCAGGACATGGACACAGATTTCTCTGAAAGCATGGGCCCTGCCAATGCATGCATCATGGTGCTAATGGGGCAGGTTCATGCTGTGGAACACCGATTCTGGGCTCGGGAAACAAGCACAGACTGGTGGGACCGCATAGTGTTGCAGGTCTGGGATGATTCCCAGTGGCTGCGAAACTTTCGCATGCGTAAGGGCACTTTCATGGAACTTTGTGACTTGCTTTCCCCTGCCCTGAGGTGCATGAATACCAAGATGAGAGCAGCCCTCACAGTTGAGAAGCAAGTGGCGATAGCCCTGTGGAAGCTTGCAACGCCAGACAGCTACCGGTCAGTTGGGAATCAATTTGGAGTGGGCAAATCTACTGTGGGGGCTGCTGTGATGCAAGTAGCCCACGCAATCAAAGATCTGCTGATACCAAGGGTAGTGACCCTGGGAAATGTGCAGGTCATAGTGGGTGGCTTTGCTGCAATGGGATTCCCTAAGTGTGGTGGGGCCATAGACGGAACCCTTATCCCTATCTTGGCACTGGAGCACCAAGCCGCCGAGTACATAAGCCGCAAGGGGTACTTTTCGATAGTGCTGCAAGCTCTGGTGGATCACAAGGGACGTTTCACCAACATCAACGTGGGATGGCCGGGAAAAGTGCATGATGCTCGCATCTTCAGGAACTCTGGTCTGTTTCAAAAGCTGCAGGAAGGGACTTTCTTCCCAGACCAGAAAATAACCGTTGGGGATGTTGAAATGCCTATATGTATCCTTGGGGACCCAGCCTACCCCTTAATGCCATGGCTCATGAAGCCGTACACAGGCAGCCTGGACAGTAGTCAGGAGCTGTTCAACTACAGGCTGAGCAAGTGCAGAATGGTGGTAGAATGTGCATTTGGACGTTTAAAGGCGCGCTGGCGCAGTTTACTGACTCGCTTAGACCGCAGCGAAACCAATATTCCCATTGTTATTACTGCTTGCTGTGTGCTCCACAATATCTGTGAGAGTAAGGGGGAGACGTTTATGGCGGGGTGGGAGGTTGAGGCAAATCGCCTGGCTGCTGGTTACGTGCAGCCAGACACCAGGGCGGTTAGAAGAGCACAGGAGGGCGCGGTACGCATCAGAGAAGCTTTGAAAACCAGTCTCATGACTGGCCAGGCTACGGTGTGAAAGTTCTGTTTGTTTCTCCTTGATGAAACCCCCCGGCCCTTGGTTCACTTCCCTGTAAGCTAACCACCCGCCCCTCCTCCCTTCAATCACCGCTTGCAGAGGCAATAAAGTCATTGTTGCTTCACATTCATGCATTCTTTATTCATTCATCACACAAATAGGGGGATGACTACCAAGGTAGCCCAGGAGGGGTGGTGGAGGAGGGAAGGAAAATGCCACACAGCACTTTAAGCACAGCACTTTAAAAGTTTACAACTTTAAAATTTATTGAATGACAGCCTTCTTTTTTCTGGGCAATCCTCTGTGGTGGAGTGGCTGGTTGGCCGGAGGCCCCCCCACCGCGTTCTTGGGCATCTGGGTGTGGAGGCTATGGAACTTGGGGAGGAGGGCGGTTGGTTACAGAGGGGCTGCAGTGGCAGTCTGTGCTCCAGCTGCCTTTGCTGCAGCTCAACCATACACTGGAGCATACTGGTTTGGTCCTGCAGCAGCCTCAGCATTGAATCCTGCCTCCTCTCATCACGCTGCCGCCACATTTGAGCTTCAGCCCTGTCTTCAGCCCGCCACTTACTCTCTTCAGCCTGCCACCTCTCCTCCCGGTCATTTTGTGCTTTCCTGCACTCTGACATTATTTGCCTCCACGCATTCGTCTGTGCTCTGTCAGTGTGGGAGGACAGCATGAGCTCGGAGAACATTTCATCGCGAGTGCGTTTTTTTTTCTTTCTAAGCTTCACTAGCCTCTGGGAAGGAGAAGATCCTGTGATCATTGAAACACATGCAGCTGGTGGAGAAAAAAAAAGGGACAGCGGTATCTAAAAAGACACATTTTATAAAACAGTGGCTACACTCTTTCAGGGTAAACCTTGCTGTTAATATTACATACATAGCACATGTGCTTTCGTTACAAGGTCGCATTTTGCCTCCCCCCACCACGTGACTACCCCCTCAACCTTCCCCCCTCCCTGTGGCTAACAGCGGGGAACATTTCTGTTTAGCCACAGGCAAACAGCCCAGCAGGAATGGGCTCCTCTGAGTGTCCCCTGAAGAAAAGCACTCTATTTCAACCAGGTGACCATGAATTATATCTCACTCTCCTGAGGATAACACAGAGAGATAAAGAACGGATGTTGTTTGAATGCCAGCAAACATACACTGCAATGCTTTGTTCTACAATGATTCCCGAGTACGTGTTACTGGCCTGGAGTGGTAAAGTGTCCTACCATGAAGGACGCAATAAGGCTGCCCTCCCCAGAAACCTTTTGCAAAGGCTTTAGGAGTACATCTAGGAGAACCACGAATGCCAGGGCAAAGTAATCCTTTCACATGCTTGCTTTTAAACCATGTATAGTATTTTAAAAGGTACACTCACCAGAGGTCCCTTCTCCGCCTGCTGGGTCCAGGAGGCAGCCTTGGGTGGGTTCGGGGGGTACTGGCTCCAGGTCCAGGGTGAGAAACAGTTCCTGGCTGTCGGGAAAACCGGTTTCTCCGCTTGCTTGCTGTGAGCTATCTACAACCTCATCATCATTATCATCTTCTTCATCCCCAAAACCTGCTTCTGTATTGCCTCCATCTCCATTGAAGGAGTCAAACAACATGGCTGGGGTAGTGGTGGCTGAACCCCCTAAAATGGCATGCAGCTCATCATAGAAGCGGCATGTTTGGGGCTCTGACCCGGAGCGGCCGTTCGCCTCTCTGGTTTTCTGGTAGGCTTGCCTCAGCTCCTTCAGTTTCACGCAGCACTGCTTCGGGTCCCTGTTATGGCCTCTGTCCTTCATGCCCTGGGAGATTTTGACAAAGGTTTTGGCATTTCGAAAACTGGAACGGAGTTCTGATAGCACGGATTCCTCTCCCCAAACAGCGATCAGATCCCGTACCTCCTGTTAGGTCCATGCTGGAGCTCTTTTGCGATTCTGGGACTCCATCGTGGTCACCTGTGCTGATGAGCTCTGCATGGTCACCTGCAGCTTACCACGCTGGCCAAACAGGAAATGAGATTCAAAAGTTCGCGGTTCTTTTCCTGTCTACCTGGCCAGTGCATCTGATTTGAGAGTGCTGTCCAGAGCGGTCACAATGGAGCACTCTGGGATAGCTCCTGGAGGCCAACCATCGAATTGTGTCCACAGTACCCCAAATTCGAGCCGGCAAGGTCGATTTAAGCGCTAATCCACTTGTCAGGGGTGGAGTAAGGAAATCGATTTTAAGAGTCCTTTAAGTCGAAATAAAGGGCTTTATTGTGTGGACGGGTGCAGGTTTACATCGATTTAACGCTGCTAAATTTGACCTAAAGTCCTAGTGTAGACCAGGGCTAAGGGAAGACGACAGAAATATCAGAACAAAACTACAGCTGAAATACCACCTTAAACTGAAGCTTTCATCCATCTTGAGAGATCGGCTGTTGCAAACTACCAAAGCGAGCTGGAGAATTTAGTTACTGTATGAGCCAGTTTCACCTGATAAGTAACAAAGACTTAATACACGTATTTTCCTTTTATTTGGTTAGTCTATATTAAATACTTCTGAGAAAGTATGTATCTGAGTTATCAAAATTGTGACTTAGTTATGTGTTATGAACTTGTGTTTGACTAACAAGTTTAACTCTACCTGTCTGGAAATAATTTTCAGTCAATACATGGTTAAGAGTACTGAGGCTGGAAAATTTATTACACTATTTCAGCACAACACTGTTTAAATAGCAAATTGTTTACATCCAATAAAAAATAGGTGAAAGGAAACACGTAGATCTACAGCAAACAGAACCTAGAGATCTTTTCAGACAGCACATTATTTGTGACGCCACACAAACCCAGCTGCTATCAGACACGAGAAAGAAGCTTGAATTACTTAGTTATAAGTCAAACTAAAAAGCACAATATTGCTGTAACATTTAGATAGTTTACTATACACTCTTAAGTTACTTTAAGGATAGGGTTGCAGGTTACTTGGCATTACCTACTAATTTCTCTTGAAATTCTGTGTGTGTGTATGTGTGTGTGTGAGAGAGAGAGTGAGATCTGGTGGCTACACATTATTGTTTAGAAAGGCAATTTTGAATTGAATTTTCAGTAATTAAGTAGTAGTATACATTTCTTAATTCCAACATTCAGAATTATTTTTTATTGACAGTCCCATCATATTTGATTGATAAAAGCTTGATCAACAAACTGATAAGAATCCTTAGTTCCATACTGATTTCAAAATCAATTCTCCACAAAAGCTCAGATTTAGAATAAATTTATTTAACATCAAAATAAAGACTTTGATTTATTTGTGATTTGAGCTATTACTTTAAGTTTAACATCCTAGGTTAAAGTAATTTATTTTAACTTTGTAAAAGGTATCATATAACCATCTTCATTTCACTTTCTGTATTTAATTTCAAATTCTATTTTGCTTAATAAAATGAATAAATTGATAAGATTTCTCAAGTCTGTACTTCAACTAAACAACCACAAATTCAAAAGAAACCTGGTATGATTAAACTAGTTATTTAAAAGTCACTTGGCTATTCTGTGCTTTATATGGTAAGGTATAGTAATGTGCTCACATGATTGAATATTAAAAAATTGTTAAAATTTTGCCTAAATAAAAATGTTCAGCTTGCTTTAACTGTGTTTATATCCTTTGTATGACTTCCATGAATGCTCCAGCAAAGCCGTTTACTAGAAGAATTTTGGTGGGACCACTGTTCTGAAGTGAATGTTCAGCTAATCTTAGCGGGGGTGTTTCTGTTTGTGTCTGGTTTATCATCACTATCAAAGGCGTAGAATGATCTTTGTATTTCTTAGTTAGATTTTCATTTTTTAAGTTTTTGAAGGATACGTTGCATTGAAGATGTGGAAGGGGAAGGGTTTCAGTATATAAATGAAGATGTGCATTAGTACAGGGGCCTGTCAAGTCATTGTGCGCAGCTGCACCAAGACAGTGTTATTCAATGCGCTTTGGAACTAATGGTTATTTAAACCTAGGTTGTGTCTTCACCAGACTTTGAGGAAATCTCCACCATTGCATTAATATCAGAGCAACTCCACCAGTGGTAGCAACTACAGAGACACTAGTATAGAAAGAGAACAGATGGTGTTTTACCACTATGTCTAAACTTGCTCAAAGTGGGTCTTGTTAAAAACAGTGGAGTGACATGTGACCCTTGTCTACATAAGTGATCCCAGTGAGGGCATGTCTACACTACAGACTTAAGTCAACCTATGTTAGGTCGACTTACAGCCCCCGCCGTAATTACTGTGATGGCTGATGTCCACACTACTCTCCTTCTGTGAGTGGTGTGTCCTCACCAGGAGTGCTTCCACCAGTTGAAGAGAGGGGGCTGAGAGCCAGGGTTCTCAGCTCTGCTCGGGCTTCTTGCCTCCCTGCTGGGAGTGGAGTGCTAGCCGCCCAGGCTTCTTGACTCCTTGAGTGGGGAGCCAGGTGGGTACAGCCCGGCTAGAAACAAGGAGTATTGGTCGCATAGCCCTGAAATTGACAAGACAGCCAACAGCTGACGTAAGTAACCATGTCTGAGCATTGCCCTCACTACACTGACATAAGTGCTATGCCTCTCGTGGAGGTGGAGTTATTATGTTGGTGTAACTGTAGTAGGGCACTTACATCAGTGGGACAAGGCTGCAGTGTAGACACTGACATAATTAGGTTGAGGTGAGCTGCTTTTGGTTGACCTGTGTACTGTAGACCAGACCTAAGTGGTCCTACACCAGTGGTAAAGCATTTGTGAGAGATTTTCTGAAGGAACCTAGTATAAAAACAAGCATGTTTATTTTTGTCCCATTTGGTCTAAATACTTACTTGACTTTTACACAGTTTGCCCAAATGTCTCTCTTCACACCAAAGGTACATGAGCAGTGTCTCTGTACAGTTTACTTTACAATGGCACATTTATACTCATACTAGTGGCATGAACAAAAATATATTAAAATGGATCTATAAACAAGACCACATATGCCACAATCTGCTGGTCAGTCTTCCCTTTTCATAGCCCTATGGGACAGACTGGTGCTGGGAACTTCCTAAATCCCAACTATTTTGAACAAAAGAAAATTGACAATATCCAAGCCCTACGCCTCCTGCAATAGGGCTATGCCCCCAAGCGACCTGCACTCAAGTTGCCTGAAGTGCGTAGGAGACGCTCACTTTGGGGATTGCTGCCAGATCTGCAGAGACTTTAAGTCTCACATGAAAAAGGACCAGGAGGCCAGGCTATGTTTTGCCCATGCAGGTGACACTGAGTCCTCCATCTCATCATCCAGGCTGGTCAGATTCGGCAGCGTACCTTGGTGTCAGTCAGGAGTGCTCCTCCTACCATAGTGGAGCCCCAGCACTGATCATTGTCCCTAGTGCCTAGGAAAAGGCACAAGAAACCGTCGGGCGAGAAGGGTCAATCCCCAGCACTGAAAATGGCCAGGCATGGGGCCAGAGTAGAGTGGGACCCTAGTTAGGCCACTCCTCTGCTTCGGTACTGCAGAAGTTGGCACCATTGACTCCCAGCACCTATGCAGGCACCATTAAGTCTGGTACCAGAGGAACTGTATACATCTGTGATTCAGCGTGGTGCCAATACTATCCCGATGCTGACCACGTGGGAGGCGTTTGCTGCAGCCAGAGACCTTCTAGAGCTGTCAGTACCAGTACCACCTGCAGTATCCGTGCGTTGGGAGAGGACAGAGTGCATTGCTTCAGGTCATCCTTCCGTAGCCATGACAACTTACCCGCCCTGACCCCCTCTGTTACAAATGAAACCTGATGGTAGTTCACTAAATTATTAAAAACAAAACGTTCCACTGCTGATAAATCACTCCCACCTCAGGAATGTACCCACCAACAGTCCCATGGAAAGATAAACTAATGCTAAGGAATTTTAGGGAGAGGCCGGAGAAACCCAAGAACTGGTCATAGATTAGATAAACCTTGGAAAATGTCTTGTATTGACCATCTGAAAAACCAAAGTCACAAAGATAAGCTCTAATACGTAAAGTAATAACGAAACATAAGACACAAGGGAACTTGCATATGATTGGTTGATATGTGTTGTTTGAAGGTTCTTAGAAATGTGATACATTAAGGTACAGATAAAATAGTTGTGGTTTTACCTATATAATGTGTGTAAAATATGAAGCTCCTTGGAACTTAACTCCAGGACACAGCCCAAGATCAGAGTTGCCAGACCTCAACACCTTGCCAACCATACTGTGCAGAAGCAGGGTCCTCAGATCTATTCTTGACTGGCCCTGAAGAAAAATTCATCTGCCTTATCGGGAGTGGTGAGTACTGTATGTTTAGCATGTGTATTCTGTTGATCAGTTTTTAGTAAATAGAGGTTTAAGGATATTACTGTGTAAGGCTTGTTCACTGGGAAAGGCCCCGGAGACCCACAGTGCCCTGAGTCCACTGGGAATGGATGTTAGCCCTGAGCCTACAGAGCAATAAAGTTGGGTCCCTTACTTCCTCAGTACCCAAAAGAGATGGTAGGAGGGTGAGAGCCCTAAACTGTGCGAGTAACAGTTCAGCAGCAGGCCCTTTAGAACCATCAAAAGAGAAATCAGCTATGATGGCCTCAGTGAGGGCATCTTCACCACGGCACTGGTCTCCAGCACTAGTGGGAACCACACCTCCATGGTCATGGGACAGGGACTCATTCTCAGAGTCAGAGGTATGAGCATGTGGCACCAGAGGCCGCTTGAGTCACCCCAATGGGTACCACTGAGGGAAAAAGGGTACCCCTTTCCAGCAACTGTGCTTAGGGTGCGCACACAACAAGAGTGAAGTGAATCATTCAAAGAACTATTATGTTTGAACACAGTTACTGCTTGGCAGGATTCAAGCACAGTTCCCATGACTTGTGGTAGGTAATTCCTTGCCCCCATACTCAGTAGTAGCCTAGGGGAGTGTCGA